CTCCGAGTGGCTTAACAATCAAGCCCTCTCCACAGGGAACTCTGGGAATTGTAGTTCTGAGAGCAGAACAGAGGGTTTCCTAACAACTCAGCACTCTTAACAAACTACAGCTCCCAGAAGTCTTGGGTGGGATACTATGACTATTTAAAGTGGTATCATAGTCTGGGGAAGCTTTTAATGTTATCCTAGTTTCAGGAAGCTTTTAATGTTTGGTATTATTATTATTATTATTAGTAGTAGTACAGTGGTACCTCGGGTTAAGTAATTAATTCGTTCCAGAGGTCTGTTCTTGACCTGAAACTGTTCTTAACCTGAAGCACCACTTTAGCTAATGGGGCTTCCTGCTGCTGCCGCGCTGCCGGAGCACGATTTCTGTTCTCATCCTGAAGCAAAGTTCTTAACCCGAGGTACTATTTCTGGGTTAGCAGAGTCTGTAACCTGAAGCGTATGTAACCTGAGGTACCACTGTAGTATCTCTGCTGGAAGCTAATAATAAAAATAAAAATAAAAATAAAAATGGTATCATAGTGCTTTAAATGTATGGTGTGAATGTGGCCTAAATCAAGTAGTCTCACCCCTGATTTTGCATATGTCTTTCCTGGTATCTGTGAGCGCAGCATAAACATCTGCAAGTGTCTCCAGAATTTGAAACCCAGATTGATGTCCCAGTGGGTGTCAAGGGGAGAGTTTGCATATGCCAGGGATTGGGCAGCAAAACGCAGCCCTGCCCTGCCTTATCTTGTCCCTTATTTCCATGTTGTTCAAAATGTTAGTGAAGCAAGCTCAAAATGGGCTACCCACTTTTTTCCTTTTCTGGGCAGCAGAAACATGTTATTAACCAACAAGCAGGCCTGCTGCACAGGGACCTTTAAATGACAGTCATATCCCTTTAGAGGTTATTAAGAATCGTAATTGTGCTTTTTCAAGATCCCAGCAATAAAGCAACTGCTTTAGGACGGGTGTTCAAAATGCTGAACTAATGGTTGCTTGAAGCCTGAACTTCCAGCTATGTTGAAAGTGTATATTGAGTAACAGAATATGTTCTCCATTTGCATTTCATTCCATTTAATTGAAAAAATACAGAGCAATCTATTTTTCCCTTCTGGGTAATTAAAAGAAAATAGGCTTAAAAAACAACAACCAACAATTTCCGGTATGCAAAACTTGAGAAAGCGTCATTGGTTTTACACCAGAAAGTAATTTATATGTGAACTTCTGAGTTCCAGAAGACGCTGTTCTTTAATCAATCAGCTGCTTCAACAAGGAATTTAATACTGTAGTGTAAACGTTTCATAGCTCAGAATACAGATGTCCTGCCGAAAATTATGGAACTGCTGTTTTTTTAATTTAAAAAATAGACATTGTTTGGGATTTGATTGACAGTCTCTTCAGGGACAACAGAATGCAGGTGGGCATATGCACTGATCAAAACTCGCTCCAAAACTCTATGTCTGAGGAGAAGGAACAGAAGGAGGAAATACCATTTCACACAGTGTGTAGTTTGACATATGGCGTTTCCTTCCTCAGGATGAGGTAATGGCCACCAACCAATGGCAAACAAGAGATATTTATGGAGGTATCAGAATGTATTTCCGTGCGCTGCTCTGGTTCGCCAGAAGCAGCTTAGTCATGCTGGACACATGACCCGGAAGCTGTCTGCGGACAAACACCGGCTCCCTCGGCCTATAGAGCGAGATGAGCGCACAACCCCAGAGTTGTCCGCGACTGGACCTAACGGTCAGGGGTACCTATACCTTTATTATAATGTAAGAACAGTTCAAGAAGACGCTGCATCAGGCCAATGGCCCTTCTAGTCCAGCATCTTGTTTTCAAGGTGGCCAACCAGATGTCTGTGGGAAGCCCAGAAGCAGGACCCCCAGTGCAAGAGCATTCTTACCTCCTGTGTTTTCAACAACTGGTACTCAGAAGCATTACTGCCTCTGAAGATGGAGGCAGAACACAGCCATCAGGGCTAGCAGCCGCCAGTAATCTTCACCTCCACCAATTTCTCCACCTGTTTTAAAGCCATCCAACATGGCAGCCTCCAGTGACAACAAGTCCCACAGTTTAACTATGCACTGTGTGAAGTACCTTTTTTTGTCTGTCCTGAGGATAAGGCTGGCCGTGGCTATTTGCTACCCACAGAGGCCCTGTGCTTCTGAAGACCAGTTGCTTGTTGGCCAATGTCAGAAAAGGATGCTAGGTCTGATGGGCTGATCTAGCAGAGCTCTCTTCAACCTTTTTCTAGTCTAACCATCTGCCTATGTGTTTGATTTCCGTGAGCAGAGAGGATTGGTGGAAATGTGACTGAATCCAGCAATTCTGCCCCCAGATTACTAGCAAGCAAGATCGACAGTGTCCATCTTGAAGCAGGCAAGTAGAGCTGATGAAGAAGGCAGCCAAGCAGTAGAGTGAGCAGTGTGTTAGCATGCACTATCATTAGCATTCAAAGCCCTAAATGGTGGGAGCCCCAAATATCACCTCCTTCCCTACAGACCCTCTCGGGGGCTAAGATCCATGGAGGATGCCCTCTTGAAGCTCAGATGGTGGTGGCTGGGGAGAGGGCATTCTCTGTGGCGGTCCCTAAGTCGCAAAACTCCCTCCCCACACTTGAAACTCGAGAGCACATTTTTAGGGCTCCCTGTATTATGAAAATCGGGAGTGGCAGCCACATCTCTCCTTTCCTCATGGGCCAACTTACCTTCCAGAGGGCAGAAACGAGTCACTTGCTCTGGCATCAGCTTCCCCTGCTTGTGCTGACAGTACATCTCAGCAATCTCCTGCCGACACTGCTTGGATTTGGCTCGGGAGAGCGCGGAGATGGCCTCCTTGCCTGAGATTTCGCATTTGGGGGGCTGCTCGTAGGCGAGCTCGGGAGAGCTGTTCCCATTCTTCTTCAGATGGTGCTGCCTGGCCTGGGACCTGTGGATGTCTTTCAACTGGCTGCCATTGATGCTGGTCTTTGGGGCCGGGTGGCCGTACTGCAGCACCTCATTGGAGCTTTTCCCCAGGAGCGAGTTCTCTTTCACCTTCTCCTCCTGCTCCAGCTTCCTCCGCAAACGCTCCTTCTGCTTGCTCAGGGGCTTTTTCACCAGCTCCACCTGGTGCTTCTGCTTCTGTGTCCTGGGAGCAAAGTTGCTATTGTCTATATTTTCCAAGTCCTTGGGGACGGAGTTCTCGTTGTTGCTGTCCGTCCGCATTTTCTCCTTCGGCCGGTGGGAAAAGTAGCCGTCCTGCAGAAGCAAAGGGGGAAAACGGTTATTGCTCTGATAATTCGGGATGGTCACTGGCCTGTGTGGATCTGCAAGGTGCCTGACACTGAATCAGACAGTTGGCCCATCTTCACATCTGCACCAGACCTTGAAAGCATATTCAGTGCACATTTAAAGCACAATATCTCCTTCCAAAGAATCATGGGAACACGAATCATTGTTTGTGAAGGGTGCTGGGACATGTAGCAATGTATTGAGGAACATCTGGAGAGCACCATGCTAGCCACCCCTGGAATATGGAACTGAATCATTTCTCTTCTGTCTCTTCCATTCTGTTCTTTTTAAAAAATCTCTTTTAAAAATGGATTTTCTTGCGCTATATAAACTCTTTAAAGTTCCTGTTGAAATATAAAGCTGCATAGAAGTTAGAACTGTGTAGAACACAGAAGGGAAGAGGATTAGGACCAAATTAGAATTAGTTAGCCCTGACAGGGTTATGGGTTACCCATTCTTGCCTTACTGGCATTGGGAGGCTGGTCCCTACCAACTTCTGCCTTCCTTCCTTACAACCAGTCAGGTGGTGGTTCTGCCTCCCATTAGCTCTGGCTCCCCCTACTGTTGGTCTCCCTGCCTTCTGCCCAATCGGCACTAGCTCCCACTGCTGTCTGGTCTTCCATTTGGAGAGATGGCTTCGAATCCATCCATTTTATGGTTCTGTTCCACTGTGCTGTTCGCTACATTATTTTAAAATGTGTTTTTATTGTGATGCTTTATAACTAGGATGTTTTTTTTTGTGGGTGAGGGGGGATTTTACATTGAGAGCTGCTTTGGCTCCCTTTGGGTCAAAATGCAGCCTAGAATGATCAATATAAATAATAAGTAAAACGAATTCCGCTCTGGGGCATGGAGCCATTCAGCACAGCCGAATTCGGAGGAAGCATTCTGCATGTTTGCCGCCCTACATTCAAACTCTTTGCTCTCGGTAGTTTTGGGTCATTATCGCTTTGAAAAGAAAACATAATTCAAGCAGAGCAAGACAAATGTAAAAAATGTAAAGCTTATTAACATTATACCCAGAACTTCTCTACTGAACTGTCGCTCCCACTGCTGTGACAGACTAAGTATTATTCATTTGCATGATTTGTTGTCCTGTTTTCTTTATCCTCAAGCAATTGCTACAAATTGGGGTTACTTATGCTAATTGAACATGGCAGCTTCTTTCATTTTAATGTGATTATTGGGATGTTCTTGCCTTTTGTGGGGGCTGGGATCCCCCCCCAGCCCCCCGCGGACGAGAACCACAGAATCTATTTGGTAATGATACAATTAATATTAATATTAGTTGCTGTGCATGCGCAGTTGTTCATATGTTTTGGAAAGGAAAGGCAGAAACACAGTAGTGTTTAACGATGCCTTGCCAATGTCCTCAGCCTGATTTCTTTTCGGTTATGACATGGGTTCGGTACAGATAACATATACAGAAATTATACGTATGTTGCTCAAAAAAACACACCTGCATGTATGAAAGCAGAAGGGCAAAACTTGAATGATTTAGTGCAGGGGTAGCCAATAAGGCATCCTCTAGTTGTTGCTGGACTTCCACACCCATCGTCCTTGACCATGGGGGAAGATGGGAGTTGGGAGTCCAGTTGTATCTGGAGAGCAGCCACATTGGCCAGTCTTGGTTTAGTGGGAACATTTCTAGACAAGTGGATAAAAATAGCTTCCAAGAAAGTAGGAAGAGCCCTGCTGGATTAGGCCACAGGCCCATCTAGTCCAGCATCCTAAGTCTCTGATAGCTCAGTTGGTTAGAGTGTGGCACTCATAATGCCAAGGTTGCAGGTTCAATTCCCATATGGGACAGCTGCATATTCTTTTGTTGCAGAGGATTGGACTAGATGATCCTCCGGGTCCCTTCCAACTCTTATGATTCTATGATCCTGTTCTCACAGTGGCCAACCAGATGTCTCTTGGTAAGTCCGCAAGCAGAATCTGAGCGCAAGAGCACTCTCCCCTCCACTGGTTTCCGACAACTGACATTCAGAGGCTTACTTCCTCTGACAGTGGAGGTCAAACAAAGCCATTTTGGCTAGTGGACATTGATAGCCTTATCCTCCAAAAAAGAACATCAGGTTTTCAGAAAATGTAACGGTTGGTGCATGGTCGCGATTTTTATCGGAACCGCAGGATGCTCCCCAAGTTGTGATCTCAATGAAAATCCTCCCTTCCACTCTTGTGAGCAGCCTTTGAAAAAAACACAACGCTCTTATTGGTGCCTTTGTTCCCACTGGGACCATTCATTCCCTGCCTACCATATTTCATTTATTGATTTAGAAAATTTAGAGACATGCACATGCTTTCCAAGCAGTACAAACAAAACCATAGATCAAACGTGGCCGAAACCCACAAACCAATTAAAAACCATCACCATTAACAATGAAGATAAAAACTAATAGAACTTAGGAGACTAGTATACACGTGCCTTGGCTGTGCCCTGTTGAGCTCCAACCTGGCTGTTTCCCAGGCCAATAAAAAGTGGACTGAGAGCACTCCATGGTTAAGCCCCGTTGAAAGACTCTTATTAATTTCCCTCTCGGCTCCCAGCTCTCAAGAATCAGCATCTGCTCATCGCCTGCTATCAGTTGCTTTCTCTAAACTGTTCCCGGTTACTCCAAAAGCAGATGTTCCTAACACACTTCACTGAGCTGAGTGAAACCGCTCGATTTAAAAAGCACGAGTGAAAAAAATGGGAAACAAGGTGAACTTAAAAAAAATATTAAAAACAAAAAACAAAACCTGGAGATGTTTAAAAGCCTCTGCTCCTCCAAACAGATGTTTGCCTTATGCTGAAGGCCTGTTTCCCATGCCATTTGTGGGGCGGAAACGCTGCAAGCAGGTGGCTGATGTGTTAACATGGCTAAGCTGAGCCGTGAAGGTCAAGAGCTGGCATTTGGCCCAGTTCCATTTCTCAGCTCAACATTGCCCCCCTCCCCAAATCCCCCCATAACCCTCTGCTCTCTATAACTGCCCCAAGCTCCTTCAAGAAGAAGAGGGATAAAATTCGACAACATAAACAGGCTGAGACTTTTTCTTATCGTTACTGTTAGGGTCAACGTGCATTAGGCTTTGCAGGAGGGGTGGGAAGCCTCATGCTTGGGGGGGGGGCAAATACAGTGCTCAGGACTAACCCCCCCCCCGCCACCCCCATCCTCAGACACTTCCTTGTCTTCCAGGCAACACGCGTCACTGGGTCTGTGGTGCAAGCGCTTTCGGAATACTATGTTCTGGTTGCCTCACCTCAAAAAAGCATATGGTAGAGTTGGAAGAGGTTCAGGTAAGCACAACCAGAATGATCAAGGGAATCAGGGCCAGATTTAGGTTTGATGAGGCCCTAAGCTACTGAAGGTAATGGGGCCCTTTATATGTCCAGCTGTCCTTTGTCAACAACAAATTGTCGCTGTTTTTTTGTGTTGAATATATGTTATATGGTCATTTATGGACCTAATAGGTATCTAAGGCCATTTGCACATGTTGCCCTGCAACCCATCCATGCAGAATGTAGGCACCCTATATATAGAAATGAGCAAACCAGTGATATTTTAGGGAGCAGGCTAGCAGGCAGGGCCAATTGCTTACATCACAGGAGCCTACACAACACAAAACAATGTTGCTGTACGTAGGTTTTATTTTATTAGATTTTTATCTTATATTTTAGAAATATACATCAAGGGTTTTTTCCTTTATTTTTTTGCCCCCCCCCCCCAAGAGTGTGGGGCCCTAAGCTATAGCTTGTTTAGCGTATACAGTCATACCTCTTGTTACGTCTGCTTCATGTTACGTTCTTTCAGGATACGTCCTGCGGCGACCTGGAAGTACCGGAAAGGGTTACTTCCGGGTTTCGCCGCTTGCGCAGACGTGCAAAATGACGTCATGCGCATGAGCAGAATCGGCAAATCGCAACTCACGCAGGCACAGACGCGGGTTGTGTTCTGCCCATGTTGTGAACGGGGCTCCGGAATGGATCCCGTTCGCAACCAGAGGTACCACTGTACGTAAATCTGGCACTGAAGGGGATGGAGTGTCTGCCTTATAGGGAAAGGTGGCAGTGTTTGGGACTTCTTAGTTTAGAGGAAAGGCGAGTCAAGGTGTCAGAAGTTTTTTAAATTATGTGTGGCATGGAGAGAGTGGACAGAGTAAAGTTTTTCCCCTCCCTCCCTCCCTCTCCCTCCCTCCCTCTCTCTCTCTCATAATACTAGAAGAGGATTTGGATTTGATATCCCGCTTTATCACTACCCTAAGGAGTCTCAAAGCGGCTAACATTCTCCTTTTCCTTCCTCCCCCACAACAAACACTCTGTGAGGTGAGTGGGGCTGAGAGACTTCAGAGAAGTGTGACTGGCCCAAGGTCACCCAGCAGCTGCATGTGGAGGAGCGGGGAATCGAACCCGGTTCACCAGATTATGAGCCCACTGCTCTTAACCACTACACCACACTGGCTTCAATACTAGAACTTGTGGGCATCCAATGAAGCTGAATGCTGGAAGATTCAGGACAGTACTTCTTCATGTAGTGCAGAGTTGAACTATGGAACTCTCTCCCACAGGAGGCAGTGATGGCCACTAATGTGGATGGCTTTAAAAGAGGACTGGACGAATCATGGGGGGAGAATGGCTATAGGCCAGGATGGCTCTGCTCTGTTTCCACAAGCAGAGGCAAGCAACGCTTGTGAATAACAGTTGCTGTAAATGACAAGGAGGAGAGCCAGTGTGGTGTAGTGGTTAAGAGCGGTGGACTTGTAATCTGGTGAACCGGGTTCGATTCCCCGCTCCTCCACATGCAGCTGCTGGGTGACCTTGGGATAGTCACACTTCTCTGAAATCTCTCAGCCCCACTCACCTCACAGAGTGTTTGTTGTGGGGGAGGAAAGGAAAGGAGATTGCTAGCCGCTTTGAGACTCCTTCAGGTAATGATAAAGCGGGATATCAAATCCAAACTTTTCTTTTTATTCTTCTTACACTCGGGTCCTGCTGGAGGGTTTCCTACAGCCACTGGTTGGCCACTGTGAGAACGGGATGCTGGACTAGAACAGCCAATGGCCTGATCCAGTGGGGTTCTTCTTGCTTATTTTGCACCCTCTTCCAAGTGTTTTTGACCGGCTGGTATGTGCCCTGGCTCTCTGATAATGCCTCTGCCTTGCCTGGGTAGTGGATGATAGATGCCAGGGATGAGGGGAGATGTAGTCCAGCAACACTCGGAGGGCACAGACCTCCCTGACCTTGTTATAGTGGAACCTAACACACACTTTTGGCTACAGTTTCAGTTGGGCTAAGCCGGTTGGCAAAAGACATAAGGAAAGCGAATGTACACCAAACCCTTGCAGCTTAAGCATGCATTGGTTTCCTCCACTGCCCTGCCCACATCTCTCCTAGACCATCCCTTTCAGTGTTGAACTGGTCAGATCGGGAGCAGGGCCTTTTGTGCTGTGGCCCTGATATAAAGGAACAGATTACCAGGAGAGGTTCCCCCACGATACTTACAACAATCAGTGAAAAACGCATATAAACTTGTAGGCTTGTTGCCTAGCATGACCTTCCTGGCTCCCTTTTTAAAAGAAAGAAACTGTAATAGCCAACTGGTTTTAAATATTATTCTTTGTTATGTGGCAGATACCTTGAATTTCAGAAAGGTGGCGCAAGGCTTGAAACGGGAGACAGACTCTGAGATAAACAAAAGATAACAGATCCAGGTGATCTCACAATTGTTTTGGATAGCATGACATTTTAAAAAACAACAACCCACAACCCAGCCAGATCCATTTTATATTCCACCTGTTCTCTCAACATCCAGCTCTTTTCATTAAGGGGGAAAAACAACAACAAACCTCTCTCAAAAAGCTGTTCCGCATTTGAGAGAGACGTTTTCTCCATTTCAGTCATGATGAAGAAAAAATAATGAACTTTATTGGAAGAAATAGCTCATAAGCAATGAGCCTCCTTGGAAATCTAGCCAGTTGGACAGATCTGGGCAAGAGCAAAGCCAAAGACAGCAGATGGGAGAAAGAACAGATGTTAATGCAGTTTGCTCTTTCCATATGCTTTCCTCTTTTAATTTTTTAAAAAAATTAAATTGCACTTTAACAATTGTCGGTTTCTGGAAATTCAGAGGCTTCAGACATTAACTGAGGATTGCAATCAGACTCTTGTGTTATTTCTTCTGCAGAGAAAAACTGTATTAACTATAAGGGGGGAAAACAAAACACCAAGAACTGCAGGATCAAGCCAGTGGTCCACAGGCAGCCCAGCATCCTGTTCTCAAGGTGATCAACCAGGTGCCCATGGAGAGCCCAGAAGAAGGACCTGTAGACAACAGCACCCTACCTGCTTATGACTTGCAGAAACTGGGTCCTGCAGGATCAGGCAAAAGGGCTTTCTAGTCCAGCATTCTTTTCTCCCCTCGGCCAACCAGATGCCCATGGGAAGCCCACAAGCAGAATCCGACCACAACGGCAACTCTCCCCACCTGCAGACATGTCAGCTGACCCTCAAACGTTGAAAAAAACTGATGGACAGCAGAACGCTCCGCATCTCACCAGTCTGGCTCAGGTGTGGACTGAGAATGCGAGGCGAGAGGGGCAGAGAGACACTGGCTAGCCCTGTCCACAGCGCCCTTGCTCCTGCCAGCTGGGAATTCAGACCACTGTGCATTTTTGAACATTTTAAGTAGTAGTTGTTTTCACCTGATAATTTTATTGTTTTCTTTCTTTTTGAGGTTCTATTGCAACCAAGCAGTACGTAAATCTTGATAAATAAGTAATATTTTCTAACACATTGGAGTGTTATATACATATTTTTTATTTCCCTCTTG